TACCGTAAAACTCAACGAATTCAAGATAGCCCTCACCAATAGGTTCCAGGCCTTTCAGGATCTACTCAATGGAGAGGAAGCAACATTGGAGAACAATTGGAAAGGGATCAAGGAGGCAATCACTTCAACATGTCAGGAGGTCCTTGGTCGCAAGAAGCACCATCACAATGAATGGATCTCTGTTGGTACTCTCGCAAAAATTGAAGAAAGGAGGAACAAGAAGGCAGCAATCAATGTCTGCCGAACAAGAGCAGAGAAAGTTAAGGCGCAAGCCGAGTATACAGAAGCAAAGAGGGAAGTGAAGAAGAGCATCAAAGCTGACAAACGAAAATATGTGGAAGATCTAGCAATGACAGCGGAAAAGGCTGTAAGAGAAGGAAACATGAGACAATTGTACGAAACAACAAAGAAGCTCGCCGGAAACTATTGTAAACCAGAACGACCAGTGAAAAGCAAGGAAGGCAAAGTAATCAGCAACACTGAACAACAGCGAAATAGGTGGGTAGAGCACTTTAAGGAACTCCTGAATCGACCAGCTCCACTGAACCCACCCAACATCGACGCAGCATCCAAGGACCTCCCAATTAACATTAGCGCACCTACGATTGAGGAGATCAGTATGGCCATCAGACAAATCAAGAGCGGCAAATCAGCAGGACCAGACAACATTCCAGCAGAGGCAATGAAAGCAGATGTAGGAGCAACTGAGAAAATATTTCACATCCTCTTCAAGAAGATTTGGAATGAGGAACAAGTACCATCAGATCGGAAAGAAGGATACCTCATCAAAATACCAAAGAAAGGCGATCTCAGCAAGTGTGAAAACTACACAAGCATCACTCTTCTTTCAATACCAGGCAAAGTCTTCAACAGGGTATTGTTAAACAGAATGAAGGACTTCGTAGACGCCCAACTTCGAGATCAACAGGCCGGATTTCGTAAGGATCGATCGTGTACTGACCAAATTGCTACATTACGGATCATTGTGGAACAATCAATTGAATGGAACTCACCACTCTACATCAACTTCATCGACTACGAGAAAGCATTTGATAGCGTGCGCAGGACAAAATTATGGAGGCTTCTTCGACACTACGGTGTGCCTGAGAAAATAGTCAACATCATACGGAATTCTTATGATGGATTCAACTGCAAAATCGTGCACGGAGGTCAGCTGACAGACTCTTTTGAGGTGAAGACCGGTGTCAGGCAAGGTTGCTTACTCTCACCCTTTCTCTTTCTCCTGGTCATCGACTGGATCATGAAGACGTCGACGTCTGGAGGGAAGCACGGTATCAACTGGACAGTTAGGACGCAGCTGGACGATCTGGACTTCGCAGATGACCTGGCTCTTCTATCGCACACTCAACAACAAATGCAAGAGAAGACGACCAGTGTAGCAGCAGCCTCTGCAGCAGTAGGTCTCAACATACATAAAGGAAAAAGCAAAATTCTCCGATACAACACAAGATGCACCAACCAAATCACTCTTGATGGAGATGCTTTGGAGGACGTTAACAACTTTACATATCTGGGCAGCATCATCGACGAGAAAGGTGGATCGGATGCAGATGTGAGGGCGCGGATCGGCAAAGCGAGGGCTGCATTTCTACAGTTGAAAAATATCTGGAACTCCAAACAACTTTCAATCGGAACCAAAATCAGGATTTTCAATACAAATGTCAAGACAGTTCTACTGTATGGAGCGGAAACTTGGAGAACTACCAAAGCCATCATCCAGAAGATACAAGTGTTTATTAACAGTTGTCTACGCAAAATACTTCGTATTTGTTGGCCAGACACTATCAGCAACAACGTACTGTGCATGAGAACAAACCAGATTCCAGTGGAGGAGGAAATCAGGAAGAAGCGGTGGAAGTGGATAGGACACACATTGCGGAAAGCACCTAACTGCGTCACGAGACAAGCCCTCATATGGAACCCTCAAGGTAAAAGGAAAAGAGGAAGGCCAAAGAATACATTATGCCGAGAAATAGAGAAAGATTTGAGTCACATCTGTCATTTTATGGTCAGATGTGCCTATTACTCTCTTCAAAAATGGGATTTATCGTCCTAAATTCAAGATTCTTTTATGTGTTGGTGTTTGTTCGAGTATGCCCTAGATAATTGCTACTACAATTAGGAGACAAAACGTAATGTGGTAACCGAAATTCATCTAATTTCTATCTCTTCATATCAAAGATCTTAACTTAAATACTTTATTACTCGACTATCTTTTGGCAACCCGTAGATTTAAACACGGTAGCTACCAACAACAACAACAGCAACAGAATTTTACTGAAAATTCCTACCCTCTCATCGTCCAACACTGTAATGCTCTGGTAGGTTCTCTGTACTGTTTAAACTTTTTGTAACTTGGAAGTGATTTGTTCTCTGCAAGAGAGATTAATATTCATTCCTGAAGCCTCTGAAATATCATCTTTTTACCTGTTGGAATATAAACGAAGTGTTATTCGCTGTTATGATTATCATAAATAATTTTTATCCAATGACCGATTTTATTTAACGATCAGGAAGAATCTTGTCAATGAAACTCACAGTTCTCTACCACTCTTAAGCATCGATCAATTCATGTTGCAAGTAAGTTATTAAATAACAAAAAAAAATCATTTTTATTTCCTTATCAATAAATCATCAATAGATATTATTATACTGATTTAAAATTATTTGTCTGAAAAAACTTTCCTGTAGATTAGTCATTTTGAATTAGTTTTACAGAACGCACGAAGTTCAACATTAGACTTGAAAATATAAACAACAAATGCAATAATTAAATTTGCTACAGTGAAGTATAAATCATCACTCGACTAAATTAAAGCATGAATGTAAGATCATGTTGCAAAATTATAATTTAACATGTACAGTTTTCTATTCTATAAATGTAAAAGGCAACTATTAAAAATTTACTTGTTAATAAATGAAATAATGACTAGTAGATTAAATAAAATTTTCATCTAGAGAAATTTCTAGTTTGAAAACAGAATTAACTTTTATGTATTTGACTGGTTGAATACTTTCAAAACTTCAACTTCATTTCATGAATATTTTTCTCAGTTTTCATTAATTTTTTCTTAAGTCAATTCCGTTATTGATTTGTTCTTTTATGTCTGAATTGAACACTTCATCATCACATAAACACTTATTCTGTTCAGAATGAAATGAAGAAATTATGTATGTGAATGATTATGATTTAGTGAACCAAAGCACTCGGTTTTTTTTCATCTCTAGACTAAACAGAAAAAAAATATATGTATATAGAAACATTTCAAATCATATTAGTCTGATAAAGAGTTTTCAAAAGAATAAAACTCTTCATTATTTATTGAATTTTATTAAAAGTTAAGCATGTGTTCTTTATTTATATCTGATATGAAATTAAATCTACAAAAAGCCTTTAAAAAATCGTAAAAACACTAAAGAAGTTTCAGACTAGTTTGGAACTTAAACTAATAAGATTACATGTGATTGATTGAACACAAGAAATTCGAACTTTAGTGGAGTTATAACACATTGACTTAAGATCAATCACTATCTATGTAACTTATGAAAGAACTACCTATCAGTAGAACGAAGTATAGCTTGCATATCCAAAAATGATTAATCGGTTTACTTTGTATTAGATCTAGAATGTCTCAGTGTTGACAAGTTAGTTGATCTACTAATCCAAACGATAAATGTTACATCAGTAAACAAATTCACTATATAGTAAGTAATTAGTGACATCAAAGGATAAACAGACTCAAATAATTCAGAAAATATAATATACGAAATCAACCATGTAACAATTATTAGTTTAGTCTTTGACCGGCGTAGATTATTTCTAGACACTAACTGGCAGCTACGAAAACGGGTACATTTGCCATAATGAATTTGGATGATTATCAAAACGACAGTAATTAATATTCTTCTTGATAGAGATTTAAACGGTAAGCATATCGACAATGATACAATTAGCAATCTAGTTAGTAATAAAAGAGATTCCGCTAAGCAGTTTTACCAAATAAAATTCCACTTTTGATAGTCCAATAAATTCAACTTTGTTTTGATTTGTCGTGAAATTTTGGTGTCTAACTTATTAGTTGATAAATAATATCTTTTCCATCTGTTCCCTTAAAGGTTACTCATAATTTATTTCACATCAATCAGTATTATCTACCAGCTGTTTTACCCCATCGATAACTGAAACTAGATTTCTGTGCCTGTGAGATATATTTTCATAATCAGAAATGGATAAATCAGGAGTTGAATTTGAACTGTCCGGCAGAATATATGACATGATTATTATTCCTCCTATAGTTTTTCAAATATCTATGAATAAATTTGAAAGTTTTAACGCCTAGTCGATTAGATGTAGACCATATAAACTGTCACCAAGTGATAAAATTAATTCATCAATCACAAATCAATAGATTTAAAGATCAACAAAGCATATTACATACTTATTCCTTGTTAAACTCTGATGAATTCAACAAGCCTCACGATAAAACATTTAAACATCGAATTTCGATTAAACGTCGACATGCAACAAACACGAAATGATTGTCATGTTTCGCATATGATCAAATACAGATTTGCTCATTATACTGAAAGCTAAGTGACATCACTGTCAACTATTTGGTGCTTCACTGAAACTATAAACCGATCTACGTGAGACCACAACAGAAAACCAGGAAACACTGGATGGTTGTTTTGTCTCACTGTAGGTTTTTCCAGAAGTGTGTATCTTTGATCTTACACTCAGGAACCGAACTGATAACCTAATGTGTCGTGTGCGAATGCTCATCTTTTAGACGACTAAACAACTATCCAACGGCGTCAATGTCTAACTCCAATCAATTCACAACATTTTGCGACCATGTTTACAGTCTGACAGCACTGTACGTCTGACTAAACCAAAGTGAATCTAGTGTGTGATTTCACCTAAATATACATATGTATTCAATATGTCTTTGAAATTGATAAGAATAGACATGAAACACCAATTGTTTTCGTTTTTCAAAAATTGAGTAACATTAAAAAAAACAACATAAAAGTTCATGTTATTATATTGCTTCGTAAAATGTATGCAAACAAAAAAAGAAAAACACTTTCATCTCGAGAAAAAAAGTGTGCGTCAGTACTTGTGATTTGATTATACCATCATAAAAAATATATAATCAGCGTACATTTATATTTTCTCATAATGAAATAAGGAATAATTGCATTTTGACATCAATTGTTGTTAGATCTCTTATCAACACTGTTACGACTACTATTAGTTATAACAGCGATACTAGTAGACGTTGTAGTCACATTAAAGATCATTTAAACTACTTATTTATTAATATTAAGAAACTATTTGAAGTTGTGTTCTGAAGAAAACAAACAAGTAGTATATCATTTCATCATAAGGATACTCTGAGGAAGAAAAAAACTATGATAAAAGCAATAGAATAAACATATACAAAATGTATGAGTAATGATGAAAATAATCACTCATGTATATAATGTTAAAATGCCAATATGGTACATTCATTGAAAAAGTCATCGACAAAAGTAACGAATTTCTTCTTCGAAAATTAATGGCAGTAACAGAAGTTGTTACCACTAGAAAACAATACGAATTTCTTTTTTATTCATGATGGAAGGAGAAAAGCAAGAAATATTAGGAAAAAAAAAACTTTACAACAATAGAGAGATATTTACAAATTTTGAGAAGGACAATATAAATGTGATAAAAATAGTTACAACGATGATGCAATCCGCCAAGACGTATATATATTCTTCTATAAAACACAAGACACAATGTATGGAGCATATTATCTGAGAGAAATGTACATCAGTGTTTTTTAAAAAAAATGGAGAAAGTTAAAAACTGCACAGCCAATCTGTTTGTTAAGTGTAAACAAATATTAATTATTATTCGTGGATAAAATTAAGTTATATACAAAATAGATGTTTATTGAATGTTTAAAATAAAGATCAATATTATTAATTTAGAGCAAGAATGATATTATAATAAGAAATAAGAAAAGCTCTTTAAATTCACATGAAAGCATACAATTGAAAATTATCTCAGAAATATAGATTAAAAATAAAAGTAAATGATACATTAAAATAATAACATTATTGTACATTGAGTAGTTTGTTTTATCAACATGAGCTGAGGATAATAACAAGTAACATGAATGTTATAATATATAATTCAATGAAAAAAAATTTTTTATGAGATACTTCGACGTAAACTATTAGCTAAGTGGCGTAATTCTGCTTCAGGTAGAGATTTTTCAAAATTGTCAATGAAATGTAAGATTTTCAAATCAGGACGAATTGAATAACGACTAAATATTTGATGAAAATGGAAAACAACAGAGAAATAGAACATTTAATTTGCGTCGATATATATATATATATATATATATATATATATATATATATATATATATATATAGGTTGTAATCATACTTGATTTCCAACCAACTTTAGGACTGAAACTACTTTATGGTTGCTAGTTAGACAGAAATGGTGATAACATAATCAAAGCTTTACATTAACATTGGTCAATTTAGTAATAGACTATTAACTGGTTTAGAATGATGAGATGTGAAAATAAATAGTCTGTATGTTTGTGTTTGCATAGATATGACAATTTTCAGAATTGACCGAAAATGATGATCGACTAAACAGGTTTTACTGGCATTTCACAGATATTTTAAGAGTTTTATGTGAACACATTTTTGAATAACATCATATAACAAATAGTACCTGCGGTGATAATGTTTTCAAATAAACAGTATGTGATAACTCAATCGAAGAATTATCCTTAAAATTCTGTCCAAGTTATAAATGTACTTTGATTGAATATTTATTATACGTCTACGGTTTCCAATTGTTTCTATCTTTTCTAGGCTACTTTAATTATGATTTTAAATTCGCCATAAAGAATCGATTGAGCTTTTTTTTAATTGCATTGAAACTGTATTTACATCTTCAAAAATTATATTAGTGAAACAGTTTGTACCATCTTCTGTGGTATTACAAAATAAGAAGAGATAATATCAGTGTTAAGTGTTTATTTATTATCACATTACTACTTTTCCACGATTTCAAATTTCTTTTTTTCTCTAGTTTCCCAATTTACCATGGAATTGTCTTCATTTTAAAACACTTTATAGTTAATTAACATGGTATCCATAGTCAGCTGTTAGCACATATCTTAAAACTAGTTCTGGTAGGACACTGATATAACTGATAACTAAAAGCAACGATAACTATAATGTGATAGTATCATAAACATAAAAAGATATGAATAATTTGTATTAAATGGTTGTGGAGGTTGTTGAGTAACTTTGAAACCATGAATTAACCAACGTTGGGCCACGATTAGAAAGCTGGAAGCAACGGACGGCCGTTTTGAGGTTAGATATCAACACCACTTGATTCCGGCTCAGTGGTTCAGAATTTAAGCATTCGTGTGCAAGACCGAAGATCCTGGATCCAATTCCTGCGAGTAGCAGGAGTCATGGATGCGCACTGCCAATGGGTCCCATACCATGACAAAATGGCTATGCAGTGCTTCCAGGTTTCTAATTGTGGTCTAATGTCCATTGATTTATGATTTTAAACATATATAAGTACAAAAACGTATGATGTATCAGTATACCTAATTCAATGCTTCAGAAAATTTAGTTGATTTGATAAGTTTTTGGAACAGATGTAAGCCGACTGGAGAACTACTAGAAGCCTGATTCATATTCTACACTTTGAATTAAAATCGGTAAAGAATATTCTATACTAGCCAGTGGGGTTTTCACCTGCATTTCAATGGTTGAAAACCTAGTAATACAAGGCTATAAACTACACAAGGCATCTGTTGCAATCCCTATTTGTTCAACTCCAAACACTGATTAATATGGTTATTATCAGGGTGGAAAGTTTGGCGAGAATGACAGGTTTGAAGATAGCTAGATAAAATAAAAAAATCTAAGGATCATTGTTTATTAACGCATTAGTCTAAAGGAGAAGGAGCAACCGAAGGACCTGATAGCCAAAAAAAGAGAGTGGTTTATTCTAAGTAATCTATGACTAGAAGGAAGTAAGTGTTCTTTGACCTCTGGTTTGTAATATCTTTTTAGCCAGTTTAATTATTCTGATTATTATCTATTTAAATTAATAAAGAACTATGACCAAAGTAAGAATCATAACCTTCTACTAGTCAATTAGCTGAATGGTTCTGTTTTTATTAGAAAATAATGATTGTTTACGTAAAATCAGTAATGTGCAATAACATACAATTACAAAATTTGTACACAACTATTTTATCAAAAAGTAACGTAACGATTAGTCCAGCGTTGGCTGCATAAAGCTATGATCATTATTATTTGTTTATAGATGAGTCTTCTTTAATTATTAAATATAATTGTTTGAAAAACAGAACAAACAAATCAAATGATCACTTACGATTTTTCAGGATCCATTTTTTCTTGTTTAACAAAAAAGTGTATGATGAGAAAATGTTTCCAACATCGCCAAAAGTTAATGATGGGACCATGACATGGTTGATAGGTATCGACTAATTGAGTTGGAAGTGTTTTTAAAAACAAAGGATTACCCTGAGCTAGGACAACTAAATTTTGTAGCATTAAACCAAGATAGGGTATAAACGGTGGATTGGCTGCTTCTAAATCACGACGATATTGTGAAAAGTAAGGCGGTTGCATGTACGGTGTAATTCGACTAAGACGCTGTAATACAAGTATACATACACAAAGAAGAAAGAAAAAGTAGGCATAAGATAATTAAGAAAACACATACAAAGTATTTATAGGTTGTGGAAAGTTGAATAGGTATAAAATGTATTAGCTTCAGAGGGAAAAAATATATGAGAAAATTTATGTAGTTTGTTTGATAGAAACATTGAGATTTACTTTAATTTGAGTGGTATGTTTCAAAAGAGATAGCCAATTTTTTCCGAATTTAAGATTCGGTTATTCTACAGTAAAACTTTGATGCTTTTCTTTAATAGCATTGAGAATACACAAATTATATATTAATATGATTATTTTCCGGCAAAAAGCACATAACAGACAGTAAACAATTGTAATATAGTCCAATAAGTTAGTGTTTATAAATCAGTTGGATTTTGGGAGTTTCGTTCTGTGAGTTGGATGGCTTAATCATGTAGCTTTAATTGTTCCTCTGATTAACATCATTAGAACAAACTTTATGTAGAAAGATTCGGATTTTCTACAGCTTGTTCTTTCGCTTCCCATTTTCACTGGCTATTGTTGACCTTTAACCCGTCATTGTGCTCATCTTTACTTTGATTTGATTATTGACGCTATATTTGTTCCGGATTTTTTCTGAATGGTTGATGAATTGAGTCGATTTTGATGTGCATTTTGACTGCAGTTCGATGTGAGTTCCAAGCTTCGCAAAGTTCTCTGGTGTTATTAGTATTCCTTCTATACTATATTTCAACATATTTCTAGATAAATGTATGTCCAGAATTGTTCACATGCATGGATATCGATCAGGATAGATCACAGTGTTTGACTGATTATTCGTGAGTCTAAATCCAGGTTCTTAAAGAAAATAATAAACTTTTTTTGGCATCGAATGTCGCCTATTGAATCGGAACTTAAAATTAATGAAAGCGCTACCATAAATTTTTACAGAAATTCTTTTAAACTACAAAAATACTGTCAAACTTATATTATACGAAAAAAAGAAATATATTGTACTGTTTCTTAAAATTAATAACAAAAACATATGAAATTTATCATCGAACTAACTTACACTGCGTGTTCTTCGAGAAAATAAAGCTTCTGGTACTAGGAGAAATGCACAAAGTAAAGATAGGTAAGAACTGAAATTTTTGAGTTTGTACAAGTGCTAGAGGATAGAAAAAAAAAATTAAAAATCATAGTTGTATTAATTTAATTGTATATATATATATATATATATATATATATATATATATATATATATATATATATATATATATATATATATATATATATATATAGTGTGTAGTATAAAATGAAAACGGTTCTATAACTGCAATCATCATATGAATTACTAATTTTTTTAAAGACATAGCAAACTTGAAAAAAATCAATATACTGTTATGGATAGTAATAAATATCTCATGTTATGAAAAACTATTTTGTCAAAAATTTTTGTCTGAGCTTTGTTAATTGATTTTCAAGGCAAAAATAAAAAAATCGTAAACTATTATATTAGTTAATTAGCAACTTACTTCCATAACATCTAATAAACGATTGGCAACTTTATCACGATCAGATGCACTTGTTAAGGATAAAATTTGATATGTGGCCCAGTTAGAAACCAATGTAAAATGATGTGCACATGCAGCTACACCAGGCGCTTTACCTTGTTCTAGTTTAGAAATATCAAGGAGTTCAGTAACCTACAAATCAAAAGCAGATAGTTGTAATTGCAGTTTAACACAGATTACATGACTGAATTCGTGAAGTATATTATCATATTCATGTTGTACTACTAAAGAATTTGAAATCATCGATCAATCATTGTTAGACCACCATTAGAAACCTGGAAGCACTGGACGGCCGTTTCGTCCTGGTATGGGACTCATCATCAGTGCGCATCCACGACTCCTGCACCTCGCAGGATTCGAACCCAGGACCTTCGGTATTGTTAGGCGTTCGCGCACAATACCGAAGGTCCTGGGTTCGAATCCTGCGAGGTGCAGGAGTCGTGGATGCGCACTGATGATGAGTCCCATACCAGGACGAAACGGCCGTCCAGTGCTTCCAGGTTTCTAATGGTGATCTAACAATGATTGATTGATGATTTTAAATGTGTAAAAACACAAACCTCCAAAACTCTGCCCGAAAATATTAAAGAATTGTTTGACTAGTAGAAACAATGGAATCTAATGTTGTAGGTCATCAATACAAACTCATCAATCTTATTGATTTCAGTAAACGAACAATACAGACATAACTGACCATATTTCTACATCACAGGCGTAGTACACTGCGCTGGACAAGTATATGCAACACTAACAACCACAAAACAGTCGATTATTCAGATTTAATTAGAATTTTCTTAATAAAGATAGTGAATCATAAATGTGTATTCGAGAATTCTGCTGATAATAAATCGACAGTCGTTTCTTATGATCTATCTAGCGTTAAGGAAATTTCTGGCAACGTGTGAACATAAGAGAATACTGCTCTGAACTTCTCAAGATGCCCAGTTAAATAGTGTTGTTCACAGAAGGTCTAAAAGAGTATACTAGGAAATCAGTGTGTTTATCCTTTAGTTTATATTACAATTACACACAAACCGACACGCTCGTAAGTTTTAATAGCGTATTATTTGATCAAATGGGTTTGTTTTCACTGTCATATAAGTTATACGTTTCAACTAATAAATCCTACTTAATTAAGTTTTAATTGACTGCTTCTGTCAGTGTCATCGTAAAGCAAAACATTACACTAAATAACATACATGTTATTGACCTTAAATGACTATTTGACTGTATTGAATGAAAAGAAGTGGTTTACTGAATTAAGCAAAAAGGATTCTCTTTAAAGTAACATGAATTAAAATTAATTCAAATGGTTACAAATTTCATTGTAGCACAGAAAAACTTACTGTACAAAAAGATAATATCATTTCAAATGAACTACAAATTCCTTGTAAATTCTAAAGCATAACCAACTAATGAAATAAATGTTCATAGTAAAAAGAGAGAGGGTTTTCTTTTTTACAGTTTTCCAAAAAAAATTATTCAAGTTACACTTAACAACTTCAGTGTCTTTTGATAGTTTCAATGTATGTTGAAGTTGTTTTTTTTTTTTCGAATGTTGTAATATGGATTTATACGGAAATGAAAAATAAAGATGAAATAATCGATCTAGTAAAGAAAAGAAGCATCGGAAAGCCAATAAAATTCCAAGTGCATTGTACTGAACAATAAAAAACGGCTGGTATAAAATTTATGTTTACCGACATAGAAAAAGTTGCGGCTAACATTGAATGTTGATAATTTTTAGGTAGTAAAAAGGCTAATAGTTTTACTCTGCCTAAATAAACACTAATCATAATTTTTTAAAAAAATGAATACTATTAATAATTATAGTAATAAATTTTGTAATGTTGAAAAAAACACTACACAGTTCACTGTCAGATTGAGTAATTAAACATTAGATAATCTTTATTTAATCGGAACTAAATGAATACAAAAAGAATGAAGGACATGAAATTAATTTAAGAAAACAAAAATATATTTCTTACATCAATTTTATAATAATTTAAACAATCCAAATAGGTGAGTTGTTCAGCAAAAGATTTTGCTGAGAAATTTAATATGCCAAGACTACTTTTTGATGTTTTCAATAATATTCTTTTAGTTGGAAGTGTACTGACCATAGTGGGAGAGTGGATATAATCATTTTCTGTAGTGTCAATCAATGAATAACGATCAACATTTTCCAAAGCATAGGATCGTTTCGATTTAGTCTTTGGTAATGTAACAAATCCAGTTTCTCCGGTGTATTCAGTGGAATGATTTGTTTCATAGCTTTCATTAAACATAGATCGATCAGATGATATATCGTCTAATGATGAGGCTCGAGGATTATTCGATATAAATGAATCCGATTTACGTATATCACCATTGATTGGTTTAGTGGGTTTTAAGTTCGAATGAATTTGTGAACTGTCTGGTGATTGTCGACAAATGGTAATGTGTAAAATTCGACTGAGTAAATTATATTGATCTTGTGCAAGAGTTTTTTCAAAATTTTGAAGAATTTCTAGCAATTCACCATTTAAATCTTGTTTTAATCGAGAAACCTTGTTTGGAAATGAAAAAACAAACCAAGTAAACAATTTTACATTAAAATAATGAAATATGCCTAGAATATTCAACAACTTTCATTTGATATATGATTAATTTAAAATCAACAGAGAAGGAATTAGACAGAACGACAATATTTGCAGAATGAAAACTTTAACTTGTTAACTTCTTTCACATTATACACAATTTATTGATTGACATATTAATAATCAATCAACGGAAATAACTGAACATGTTTAGCTAGCTCATATGTATTTGAAACAGGAAAGCAATAAAATACTAGAAATTTATTGTATTCTATAAATATTTCTGTTCTAGTTTTATTAAAGGAAAAAAAACAACAACTGGAGAATTCAAAATCATTTAATTAATTAATTAAATTAAATATATAAATGTTGGAAATGTGAAATTTATGTTTACTCGGTATGATGTGTGTAGGCATTAAATTACGAAAAAAAATTGACAGTTGAATTCAGTTAGAATTTATGACGTAAAATAATGTTATAATAAATTGTGTAAAACCAGGTAAAACCAAATGATGAAAATAATTATATGTCATTTGAAAATCGAAAATATTTGATTCTCATATGAATGAACATGTGTAAGTATTACCTACACAACAATAAAATTAAGGTAGATTACACAAAAGTCCTCAACGTTTCATTTGTTTTTAATTAAAAATAACTGAATAAAATAGTAAAGATTTATTTATTTTGAGAGGTTGCAATCAGAAACTTTGACACATCTTGTATGAATTTCTTTATTTTATGCTCATTTATTTATTCGGATACTTAATTTACGGTACAGTAGCAATATAAAACGACGTTTTAGATGTATAGAATATAAAATATCGAGATTTGAGTCACTGAGTAATTATGAAGTGATAAGTGAGATTACAATGATGATTGAATATACGTTAAAATAATAAACTGACACAAGATGTGAAGGAAATCAAATTTGGAAATTAAACTACTGAAAGAATTTGTCTTATTCGTAGAAAGTGTGATTAGGTTGCAAATACTTAGGGATATCTCTTACATAATCTCATCATTGCTGATGGCCTGGTGACTAACGAAATCTCAGCACGGATAAAGAAGGCTTGATTGGCTTTTGCCAACTTACGTCACTTAAGGCGTGGGCGAGATATCCGTTCGCTAACCGAAGGACGAGTGTACTGTGCATCAATTCGCTCCGTTCTTCTTTATGGCTGCAAAATATATGGCCCGTCAAAGTAGAAGATATTTGTACTTTGTTAGTTTTATATCATAGGTGTCTTCGAAGCATTGCTCGTTTATTCTGGGACAACCGAGTAAACAATGCTTTCGTTAGGAAACGGGTCCTAGGTAAGGGTGGCAGATCAATAGTGACAATGAGGTGACAATAGCATAATGACAACTTGAACTGATGTACGTATGTACAAAGTTCTATGTTGTTGTTGACTGACTGACTGGTTGATAAAAACATTCACAGTAAAATACTTTATTCAAAAATTAAAAAAAAATAGATGTTTAAATGAATTATTAAACAAATCAACAACATCTTACCACAGTCACTAATATTGACACAGTCGATGTACACACTTTCGATCTAATTTCTTGTGATAAATTTGTTAAATGTGTTAAATAATGTGGAGGATGACTAAAATAATAATATCGTGTTATTAAACGATGCAATAAATCATCCGATGTCATAAATGAACGGTACATAAAAAGAAATGTTTCAAAAAATAAATAATCTGGAATAGAAAAAAAATAAAATAAATCCAATATTCAAGGAGCAACAATGCGATCATTTGAATTTGATTGAAAACAAATTGAAAACAAAAGACACACTGATTTTGAAACTAATATTCCTGATGCGCTTCTAGCAGTAGAATATAAGATTTGTGTGTCATCCGACGATAATAATTGTTTAAAAGTGTCTGTATTCCAAAATATTGATGTACACAGTGTGACACTAAAAGATAGCAGTAGTGACCAATTTAAACGGTAGATAATAATAACGAGAAAAATGCTAACATTGCAGCTGGTAGTTTATCAGAATAGCGTTTGCAACTATCGAAAACTTAGAGGTGATGAGACTAATGGGCCACTATTGCATTTGGTTATGAATAAATTTGTCGTTTCAAATGGATCACAATATCAGTGATTGAAAAATTAATGTATAATATGTTTAGCCAATAAAATCACAAACAACATTTCTACAATACTGACAGAACAATTGTTTGGTGAAAATCATCTTTCGAACTAATATGAAGCGAAATTCATATGAGAGAAATATCTTCTCAAAGGTTTCGTTTATGGAGATTTGTTACAGTAAGTGAAAAATGACATACATCATGAAATTAAACTAAATTGACAGGAAATACATTACAACTTCAAGTGGCTAGTCACTCTACGACAATTGTCCATCGTTTTTAGGCTGATACTGATAAAAAGGAAATCGCATATAACTATTTTCTGTACATATTGATTAGAGATCAAGAAAACATATTGTTTTCAAAGATGTGAAATCCTGATTGGTAACTCTTTGAAAACAAGGTATCATTAAATGGCTCACTGTTTTCGTTTCGGACCTCTTGGTTGTGTAAACAGATGATTCAACCAAGAATCGAACTTACAACTTTGAAGTCTCACAACACGCATAATGATTTTAGATCAATGGATCGATTCTTATGATCTACAATGCTGAATTTTATATAAACGAAGCGATAATCATTTAACATCATTACTGTTGACTGTCTTACTTTTAACTACAGTTTATTTAAGTTGGTTTATAAACAAAACAGTTTAGCACAATAATTATTCTTACAGTTACTTATTGATTGTACCGAAATATATGAATAAAATCAATGATGACTACTATAACTTGTTCGGTCATATGATACAGTCAAACAAACTGAAACGTCTTTTAAATGAACTAACGTTTATTACATCCAAATCACGGCAACAGTGAACTAACACATTTCATTCTAATCATCATAAAAATCACTTGTAAAATAGAATATGAGATTTTTAAAATTTTTATAAAGAAATCAAAAACCAATAGAAGAAAAAAAGATGACTAAAACGTTGAAATGTATGCAATAAACATGTGTTCTATATCAAGTGAACACATACAAAAATATACAATGAATATGAAATCAGTACAATACGAATTCTAAACAGAACTGATAAAAAAAGCAATAAACTCACATGATGGTAACATACGACCGTATGAAGTCATATACACTATCAAAGCATCAATACATCCAGCATGTACAGAAATATCATTGACCTAGACAAGTAAAAAATATACACATAAAAAAGACATAAGTTTGTACAGTTGAAAAATGAAATAAAAACAAAGGTGAAAAAAGAATGCTTCAATGAATAACTGTCAGAAAATAAGATATTGACATGAAAATTCGTTAAAATGATATATTGATGTAATTGATTTTGAGCTTTACTGTTGATCATTTAACTGTCGAAAGAAAAGTAAATATGGAAGCGTGGCAGTTTGTTACTTAATGGTTGGAAGTCTATTGTTTTAATCATCAGATCAATATTATTTTGTATACATAAAAATCTATGAAAGATGTATCAACTTTAGTAGCCAGAAGCAATTCAAATCCAAACTCTAACCTGAGAGCTTTAAACGTTAAAAATGTAATAAGCTACTTAAAGAGCATAAAAATAAGTGGTATCGATTATTTTCTATATCAGTAAGAGACTTATCAAATAGTTTACATTCAGTAATAAAATAATCATTTCACTACTGTATAAATAAAGTTTCTTTTAGTAAACCACTGAAAGAAACATATGTTGTGCAGCATGACATTCATGCTAGAAAATCACTGATTCCATGTTTCTAATCTACCTTTCTAACCTAAATATACTATAGCCAACTTAATTCCTTACAGGAAAAAAAAGTGTGATCATAAATTGCACTAAACATTTTTAAGTAAATAAAATAACTTAAGGAAGAGAGATCCATTTTATATCAGACAGGAACGTTATTTACTAATAATATGTAGCTTAATAATACTGATAGATATTTCCAGTTATTTAAGTAATTTCAACGGATTCAGAAATAAACAAACATCGTGTATTTCCGATGCTAATCAATATATATATATATATATATATATATATATATATATCTTGGAATAGACTTAATCACAATGTGAGATGCTGTTAGTGGCGTAAATTTACATTTTACAGCTAACAGAGCGACGCAAATAACTAACGTGAAACAGATGTTTACACCCATTTGTTTCCCATACAAACTGAAATTTTTTCGACCCCTAGGTGGAAACACGTAATCTATAAAAAATCGAGAACTTAGTAATCAAATTGTTTCGGAACAAACATGACATGAAATTTCCAGAGTGAATCATTGTGAATTGTCAGGTTTGTATCTGTACCATAGTACGAATAGATCCCTTAGGGAAATCGATACACGAATAACCTACAATAGTATGTACGTACATTATGGATTTCGTCACAATTTGATAACTTGAATTTAGTAAAGTCGGATAATGGCAGGTATTGAAATCCAGGATGCGTCTTTTGTCTCATCTAGCATTTATTATATGAATGTACTTTCATTTAGTATAGAGTTTGCAGCGAGACTCGAACCCACTGCATTTCCACTCAAACGTCAAGACGTTATCCAATAAGCTACTAAGTCGAAACATCTACTGGGTTGTGTTACGTGTATGAATTTAATTTATAAGAGTTTACATTTTCTCGTTAAGGACTGAGAATACTCAGTGCCTGTTAGCATGGATGTATCCTGAGAAGAGTGTTTAGATACTGACAAGACAATGAGAACATAACATAACATCTAACGATAAATTCTATAGCTTTCAAAGTTATTTTACGTTCAGTTGGGTGCACAAATAGTTAACAAATGTAAAATATACAGAGGTTTCATTAAATGTATACATGATGCAATGCAACATGTATACAATGTCTGCAAGCTAAATGATGAAGTATGTAAAAAGAAACAATCAATATGATTTTCTACATCATTTCATCCACAAATTAAGAAAAGATGGATAATCTAATAGTAGTGATATGAGTAACAAATACAGTAATAGTTATATGTTAGCAGGAGAATTTCTGTAACCTTATCCTTGTAATCTACATTAATGGAATCAATGTATACCAAGTTAAATAAATGACTAGTATATACACTGAAAGATATTTAAATGATCAGAAGAAAAAAATGACTCTATAGAAGTTCTAATTCGAATTCATTTAGCTCATTTATTGTAACCAAATTATAAGTAATATGATTTGTATTCTGAGGAAATAATTCTATTTTGTTCAATTTAATTACAAAATAAACATTTTGTTAGCAGATTGGTTAATTTGGGATTACAAGTAGACAAAAATAAGGAGTTTACAAATGATTGATTATTGGGTAGTGTAGTGATTAATGTCATATAGTTCAGGTCCTTTAAGGATCCAGGGTTTCCTATCGATTACCGTTAACGATCATTTTAAAAATAACAAAATTAATATATGGCTAATGTACCATACCACCTATTTAGTTGTTCTCTGTTTGCTTGATAAATAATATTTTGTTAGAGTAATTGATTAGATCAATTACGTCTTCGCACTGTTCTATCAAAATTTATAAAAAGGACTAATTGTTTTAAATTTGTTAGAATACTTAAACTTATGGCTTGATTTTACAGCGTTTATCTGAATCAATCAATAATAATAATGGTAATAACTCTCTTCTCATTTACAAAACAAAGTTGTCAATGTTTGTTGTGATCATTTAAACAGTAACAATAACTTCAAAATAATAAACATCTAAAAGATATATCAATCATATTAGTATTTTTCGAGGAAAAAAAATACTATTTACTTCCCTTTCATGTATAGACTGAATAATATCAATAAATAGAATTTAAAATAATCATTAACCATTTGATCACTTACAGTATTTCGATCACCCCATACTAAATAATCGTTTGCTTTTAAAAGACTTAATATAGGTGGTACATTGTTAGCTTCCACAATAGGTTTATTGATATATATTTCTCTTTCTTGAATTATTGAAGAACTATTATCGTCATGTGGTATTTCTTCATCGTCCGTCTCATCACTGGTTATACTAAATATTAAGAGTTAAAATAAGTTTAAAACAATTCACATTAATTTTCATTGATAAATTGTATGTCGATATAGAAAAAAACAAAAAATCACTACAATTATTCATGACTAGTTTGTTTAATTAACAAAAATATTCCATTTCATAATTAAATTAATAAGTAATTATTTGTTAATTATTCTAACATACAAAAAATACACTTTCCATTAAATAAACTCGATAAGTTTTAAAACTGATTCAAAGAAAAATTCCCATCGATTCATTTAAATGAATTTTGTGAACATTTTGGTTTTTTAATGTTACCTTGTCTGTAATAAATTCAAAAATGTAATCCTTACTGATGATATCAAAAAGAAAAGACTATTCACTAAATTTGATAATCAAAATTGTTCAAATTTACAACAACAGTATAATAGGAGAATACAATTAGAAATATTTATATTGTGATTTTGGTACTGAGCAAAACTATGCTTCGTAGCATTTAATTGTTTATTATTGACTAGGCAAATCTAACAATTAAGAATGAATTAAGTTTGATTCACACAGTTGAATCTTATTGTTCAGTCATATAATTCATTGAGTAATTTATAGTATACTAATTACTCAGTAATCAATTTCTTTCAACAACAATTTATCAGTGATAAGAAAATAAAAAAGGAAATACTGACTTACATGATTTGTGATTCACCATGATCAAATGCTGGTAGATCTGATGTTTCCAACGGTTTGAACACATCTGTTTCTTCATTAATAGATGGTTTTACTGTTCAAAGAAAATGTTTTGTCAATATATAAATATATTTATAATAACAACTTACTTTCGTTAGATGATGAAGTCAGTGAATTACAAGATAGTTTATCCGAAGCTTCATCATCTGATAATGTTTCAGATATTTTCATTTCAGCATTACGATTTGCCTATAAATGATAATTAGTAAGAATAAACAAAAAAAACAGAAGAAATAATAGTATAGATTGATTTTACTTCTAGGTAGACGACTCTAATATGTGACTGTTGGTAGACTGTCTCATCACTCAAATGTACAAGAACTTTTTTCTCTTTGTGCTTATATAGATAGATGTATAATTATTTTTTTTAAAACTTCAATTAGATCACGAATAATTGAATAGAGTGAACTAAATATATATTTACATGTACAGAAGTTAATACAAACCTATATCAATCGGAATACATGTATACACATATTTCTGTGATCAGGTTACATGAAAAGGATTAATTACACGTTTTTTTTAACGGCAACAGTGGTTGGCTAATGTAGATAGATGAATTAGCATACTATAAATGCTTGGTATCAAATGTCAAACTTTGAGTTAATTCCCCCGAAAAAAACATTTTTAAAAGAATAATAACAGCATCATGGTGGATAAGAGATCAGTGAATTCCTAAAATAAACAATGCATTTATGTTGTAAATAAGATAAAACAGTTGTGGCGTTGGACTATCTTTATCTGCTAAATTCCGTATATCTCCGTCTTGATGACCGCTACGAGAGAATACGAGTCGTTACCACCATTTCTTTATTATTCAAACTGTCAAATAACTATATGTGTAGGTGGTAAGTAATGCCCAAGCGTACATGCGCATACAAGCTCAACAATGATAAAAGTACAAGATATATGTGAGGTGCTACACAGTAACATACACCTAACTAGACTAGAAGTAAAACAAGTTATTCAAAAACTTCTAAAAACTGGAATTTCATCAGACAATTACAAAGAAATAGAATGTTGTGTACGGCTTATTCAAATAAAACACATGATAAATTCAACTACTTTTGCGCTAAATTTAATTTAAACAGTTGAGTAGTATTTAATTTAGTGACAAAATCTGTTCAATTGGTCAAATGAAAGGACTATAGCAAGCAACTTTTAAACATCACAAAACACACTGATATAAACTAAGAATGATGCAGGTTAAAAATTAAATAAAATATTCTTTTCTCTTATGCTTTAATCATCTGAGAAATGTACAAGATTCTATTACACCATTATCATACATTACGTCATTACATTGTATCATTATTACGCTTAAATAACAATAAGTTGGAATTAAAACCATTCATACTATTACCATGATTAATACTACTACTATGATACAATTATTCAAAGGATTTGTACCTAGTTTGTATAAATGCATGGAAATTATTGCTATTACTGCATTGATCTGGTGAACTTGATTCTTAATAATAATATTAGTTTTATTTGTAACCATGAGTCGATCAAGTCAGACATTAACACCGTTAGATACCGGCTCAATGATCTAACGGTTAGGGTGTTCGCGCACAATACTGAAGGTCCTGGGTTCGAATCCTGCGAGGCGCAGGAGTCGTGGATGCGCACTGCTGAGGAGTCCCATACCAGGACGAAACGGCCGTCCAGTGCTTCCAGGTTTCTAATTGTGGTCTAACATTGGTCGATTCATGGTTACAAATAAAACTTAACAATCTTCACAACAACCCCGCAATGCAATAATATTAGATATTGAAAGTAACGTTTTGGATTCTTCATAGAAAAAAATAATTATTTTTCTTATTCTTCTTGTTCAAAATTATGTCAGCTAATCAATCACTAGTGTATTTAACAGTGAGTTATGTGAATGTAATGGTAATTTCTCGTTTCATGAAATTCATCGACATGATCTTTAACTCTTCTTTTTGAAAGTTAACTTATAAATATTATTAACTATATGAGCGATTCATAGGATTCCTACAGATTAATTAGTTTCTACTAATCTATAACTATGATTCACTGTGAATAAGAAAATACGATCTGTATTTGGTTTTCTCTCATTCATATGGATGGTTTAAAGGGCTGAAAAGAATCTACGCTTACAATGAATTTGCTATGATTGTTGTTCATGGTTTAATGAAATAAATACAAACCTAAGGGAAGTGTATAAAAATTAAACAAAGCCATAACTAGAATATTCATTATTATAAATATAATATTAATAATAATATAAAATAGTAGCAAGTCACATTTTCCACATTCCATAAGAGTACTGCACGCAACCTAGTTGATTTATTATTCTATGATTAACAGAGAATAAATAAATAAATGCTCATAAAGAAGAGAATTTGTTATTTAAGAAAAATGATATGATTTATTATGCTCAATGTATATTCTTTGTTAAAAAACAAGACAGAGTCCCATTGAAATGTATGCATGTAAAAGGCGAAATACAAATATTTAACATGTAATTTAAAATTTGAAAAGTGTTCATTTTAAAAACTGAGCGTAGAAGTAAAAATACAAATGCATTCATTGTCTTAGGTTAGAAATGCCTTTATAGAATATTTTAAACATGCATACTTTTTCATTTAAATGAAATGAATCCATCATAAAGGGTGAAATGATTTGTTCCAGGAGAAAATGTTTATTTTTTAAGTGTTATTTAAATCGAACAAATGGTAAAGGAAGATAGGGATTGTGTAGAAAGAAGAGTCGGAGTTAAAATGTGTGACGACCACCAAGTATTCTAAATATTTAATTCGAAATGCCATAATAGATTTTTTTACTGATAAAGATGTTTTTGGTGGTGTTGCGTTTTCTGAGTTAAATATTTTAATTGAGAAGGGTTCAGTGTTGTTCTGGATAACTTTATTAAGGGAACGAAACAAACATTTCTATAAGCAAGCTATTCAGATTACAGTAAGTAATATTAGAAAATATTTCTTTCTCTGAATTATCACAATGGACTTTATGATACTATTCGCCTTAATTTAAGTATATATATTATGGGTTGCGTTCTATTTGGCGTCGGGCTAACCACTTTAGCGGCTGCAATAAATCCGATATCTATGAACAATTAAATATGATGTGAATCAATTCTCTTCTCAAGTTTCCTTATATCATACTTAGGCGAACCCCGCCTATGCGACGGCGGTAATTAGGAGCCAAATACGGATTTGTTTGAATCAGATTATGTCAGGCAATCGTTCGTGCAGATAGACATGAGAAAGAAAAGCATGGAAGCAGAGTTGAGCAAAGTGGAGAAGTCGAGCGAACCAACTTAATGTAATTAGGCATGACTAAGAAATTACAGTCAGACAATATAAGCTAGACAAATAATCAGCGAAGTAAGTATGCACAGACATACATACTCGAATAAAAACAATCAAGATAGAAGCGAATAGTTGGTAAGGTCGGAAGATGTGTGAATAACTCAAGGAGAATGGACTAGTTAATTTATCCAAAGGCTGGAGTAAGCCCTGTGGGCTGAACATAATTAGTACACACTACAATATAAATTCATCAAATACAATAAAACAACACTTACAATACTTATGATATAAATAGTTTCTTATTTCAATATAAAATAAGGCAAATGAGTAATACTAGATGCATGATAAAAGTCTTATGAATTACTAGAAACACAACTTACAACCGGTCTAGTTGCTTAACTTGTACGTTTAACCAACATTCAGATTGCATTATATAATAAATCTGCTCACATAAAACAGGAAACATGACTGACTGATTGGTTCAGTAGATTGACTTACACACAATCGGATATATTTACATAAAAAAAAGCCACGTTGGCATAGTATCAGCAAAGTAGCGTCATTAGGCTCTGCATAAAAGTATGACATTAGGTCAGATAATATAAACTTGTGCTCGATTACCGAGTTGTATATTATCACAATGTACAGTTATTCGGTGAATGATCTGCATAGTGAAGCAAGATCTAATCAGATTCTTCATCATTAACATGTAGAAAACGAACATAGGGATGACTAACTCAGTTTTGAACTTTAAATAATGAAATTAACATACTGATTAACTACAATTGAATAGACTTTTCTTATGTACTATCAAAAGTATTAGGAATGAAATATTGACTGCATACTGTACTTGGTGAATAATTACCAGTTCGTTTGCTCAAATACTTTGTTTATGTCATCCATATGGTTAGAAAATACAGATAATAAGACAGACTATGCACTAGCGCACCTCCCTTAAGCGCTGAATTTCTTCACTGACAAAAATTCTCGATCATTCAATGGCATTTCATACAATTTTCTGATCAAAATAAATGTGGCTTGAAATTATTCCTGATTGTGAACAGATCCATAGTATGAATAATTTTAACATTTACAATAAAATAACTTCCATGATAACGAAATATATATATATATATATAAAGTTTAATCAAATGTTTTTTCTTACCGAAAAACAAATTATTGGTAATATTACCATTAGAAATGTGAAATGGTTATCAATCGAAATAATACTGTCATGCTCCAGTTACATACATATTGATATATTGTTTAGTCATGTAAAGTTTATGCATACCATACGTGTATGTATATATTATACACTGTGATTACTAAGCTTATGTTTGTCAGTGTTACCAAATAAAGTGAATCATAATAAATGAATGAATAAATAATGTTTCAATTATTATTAGAATCAGTCACTTGTTCAGTATCACAAACTTAAATGATACTAAAGTGTAAGTTGGCATCCATTCATAATTTCAATACTGACAAGCAATAAAGATAAATAGAGAAATACCAGTATATATATATATATATATATATATATATATATATATATATACATTTTTACGGATAGTACACATGTAATTATTGACCTATTCTGTTACATAATCATGTATTCAATGTGAATAAATTTTCAGTGTGCATAAACACAAAACGACAATCAGAAAAAACTATGATTCGTGAGCAAATGAAAATTACAGAATTGTCATTTTGTGGTGCAACTGCAGATAGGAATGGCGACTGAGACTATTTTTAAAAAAAATTACTGTACATGAATATAGATAAAGAGAGTAATTACTTTTTGTCAATTAGTAAGCGATTAAACAGACAAACAAACACATGATTATATGCACACACACACACTAAATGAAATACATAATTGTATTTCTCAAAGTCTATAGACGTAAACATATATATATACCATCAAATTTTCTCTTAATATGGAGCATTTTATTGTTACTATGGTACCAATAGAATTTATAAATTGAACAGATCATTACAATTCATCCCACATACACATCGATGCACAAAAAGTTGTACTTCACACATAAAACCATCATTGAATGCTGATACCAGTTTTTATTCAATGGACATTTCAGCTAATTTACCACTTTCAAATGTATTTTAACAGGTAAGTAGAATCTACGAAGACATGTGATATGATAAACATATCACTTTTGATCAATAAATAAGTTACGAGAAGTCAAACATCTTTATGAGAAAAAACCCACTGAATTATATTAGCAACACCTATCAATCAATTATCGATCAATCAATCAATCTATAGCAACGTAGAACTTCGTACTTACGTAAATCAGTTTATGTTGCCATTCGACATTAGCACAGAGTTGCAATTGTCAATTCAAATCCAATAGTAGTAGAGGTATTAGCAGTAGTCGGAGAGGTTAGGATCCTTAGACGCCTAACTACAGCTCGTGAAGAACAGACTAGAGAAAACCAGGCTGGTTTCAGACAGGGATGTGGCTGTATATACCAAATTTTCACACTACGACAGGTCCTGGAACACAGACACACATCTAGGCGTCCTAAAATAGTTGTCTTCTTAGACCTTAAGGCGGCATTTGACTCAGTGGATTGTGAGGTTCTGTGGCAGTGTCTGTCATTAAAAGGTGAAGCAGAGAAATACATTAACCCTATACAAGCTCTCTACTCGAACACTACAGGTCGAGTGAGAGCTTATGGCAAACTGTTATCGGAATTTCTTACTTCAAGTGGTGTCCGTCAGAGATGTCCACTGTCTCCATTCTTGTTTAATTTTGTCATAAACATGCTCCTAGATATAACACTATCTTCGTCTGAATTTTCAGGAGTGAAACTTCTACTAGGAAAATCGCTTGTTGACTTAGAATATACCGATGACATAGTTCTATTCGGTGAAGGCGCTGACAAAATGTAGAGTCTTCTGACTACCCTGAGCAACAATCTGAGCATGTTCGGGATGCGAATCTCCCCTTCGAAATGCAAAATGTTGCTTTAAGACTGGGTTGCATCGGCACCTGATCTAGTGATAGGGAGTGAAGTAGTCGAACGTGTAGACCGCTTCACTTATCTGGGGAGTCTCATCAGTGCTGATGGCCTGGTGACTGGCGAAATCTCAGCACGGATACAGAAGGCTCGATTAAAACTTCATCAGCTTAGGTGGTTAGGGCATGTGTTACGTATGCTCAACCACGGACGAGCTTTGTTTTATGATCTAGTGTAGGTTGAAGGAAAGCTAGGGGCAAACGAAAACATGGCACAAATCTATGAAGTCACTGACAAGTGGACTGAGTCATGTCTGTAGATGCAGGCTGCTGGTTGGTGTCCTGGAGACGAAAGTCACCGATGTTTAGAGACTTTGAACGACAGGGCTCGAAATCGTTTGGAATGGCGCAAGTGCAGTCATTCATTGTGTTCGCTCAAATTCTAATCTTCTGAATTCCTCGTCTATTTCTCTTTCTAAATGTATCTCACTGAATTATACTTCTCGAATCATATCTTCGAACCTTAATCTTCTCCATTGTTGCTAAAACGTCTACTATCTCTACGACTATGGGATTTCCATTGACAGTTGCGTCTCGGTGCTGATGTCGTACGGCAACCTTAACTTATGTACTGATGTACGAAGTTCTACACTGGAACTGACTAACTGAATACAACTCACTACAAAGCCTTCACCCAGTTGGTATCATGTAATGTAAAACTTGGTACATATGTACATCAGTCCAAGTTGCCAGACCGCATTAGCATATACTAAAATACCATAAATCATGCCAGGATCATTGTTAGCAAAAACAGTTAGACATAAGAAAAATGATTCAAGAAGAAAACATGAAGCCCTGAAATGAAGCATATTTGAGAGGCATTCTTTTTATGAGAAAACCATTTTAAAGGACACAGTAATTGACCGACATATCCTCAACAATGAAGCATTCATGTGAGTTAAAAATTCTCACCATCATTGTTTACTTAGTATGTATACTGTCGCAATTTTTAATGGTTCATGAGTTAGCATTAGTTTCTGGTCAAAATTTATTTCAGATAGAGTAAACATTAATAAAGCATTTCAATAAAAAATAATTAATTGAAGAAATTAACGATTATTGATTTTTTTTTATAATGACAAAAAATGCAAATATATATTATAAATTATTGTTCACAAACGATAACTTATTCGGCAATATATTTTCAATAACTGCAAAAAACAAATAATAATTTTTATGCAAACTTCGAAATTTTGTCCAAGTGAACTTTCTACCTAATTTGCTGACATTTATTTATTCACAGATAACAAGTTAATAAAATCATTTTATTGAGTTAGTAGTCAATAATGATTTTTATAAAAAAAAAATACAGTCGAATTTTTTCGACATATAAATTCATTTTTTACAAACAATAGAAATTGTTTTGAATGTAGATTGTATCATTATTTTTCCAGTCAGAAAGATTATATATATATATATATATATATATATATATATATATATATATATATATATATATAAGTTAGGGCAGGATATAAGCAATTAGTAATTAGGTGGAATAACTCATAATATAACACAATTGGTTCGGAGATATCTGATATGCATTTGTATATATGAAATAAAACGAATAGGAGAAAGATTTACTTCTATTATTCTGTAAAATACATCAAACACTACGAGAATGCTTTTTGTTTGAACCAAATAAAAATATTGGCGGCAGTGATTAAACAGAAAAGATAACGAAATAATTGTAAAGCTACTTAAAAATGTACTACGAAATCGATCAAGTTTATGTAAAATAACTGAAGGCGCTGGTTTAGATCAACGCATTGGTAGTTTCGTTCGGTCGGTTTATTTTTAAAGGGACATAATCCTGTACAATGTGAATATTTGGGAAATCATAATATCCTAGCAATCGAGAGTTTACAAAGCTGATAAATTAAAAAGTTGACTTAAAATTGTTGCTACTGAAAAGTTGTAAGTAGTAAACAGGGATATTAAAAAACAACCTAGGACATATAAAATAATAAGCAGAGATAATAATGTAACAATCTGTTTACTAGATGCATTAGAGAAAAGATTGTTTACTGAATAAAATCTTTCATGGGTCTAGGTAAAAATACACAATCCGAATTCAGTAGATAGAAATTTATCAGATTTTTCAATGAAGTAATGAGTCATTTATACTCTAGATATTTATTGTTTATTTAAGTTAATAAGGAAATGTTTTAATAATGTTTTTTTATCCAACTGTGTGGCATGTTTAGTTCCGTACAAAGTTTTGCTAAATAAAACACCGAACCTACCCGAGCTTTTAATCCTTGAAGACCCCCAACCTGGATGGAGTAAGATATGAAAAACAAAAATTATTGTCAAAGAGTTATTTACAACATGTGTTTATATCAACAACAAAATTAAAACAAAGCAATCAAGGAATCGAAACAGGAATACTCACCTTGAAAATAGTTGCTTCAATATTAACTGACTATGTAATTCTACTTACTAACACATAGTAATACTATCATTTATTTCTAGAGATTTAAACATAAAAATCAAGGATTTGAAATTCAGTAGACACGAAGTGACTAATGTTTTTGTTTACGATATATTGTTTTCTTTAGATACTAAGTGATTCATATTTATAATATTTTAGTTTGGTTTATTTTTGAATATAAATGATAAGTTTATTTCATAGATATACACGATACAATTAGACAGAGCTTCTAATTTCTTAATATTCCCCTCTGGATACAAAGATTGATACTGTGAGTGACCATCTATGATCATCAACCACTTCAGTATAACAATATTTTTCTTCACAAGTTCATAGAAATGGAATAAGGTAACTAAGTGAAATATCAGCTTTTACATAATAACTCTATTGAAGGAATATTTTATAAGAGCTCAATGAATTTTTTTTTTAAAACTGTAAAATCAAATACTGATGCACTGACAAGTAGGCATAGATCTATAAATAATCTACACAACTATCAAAACATTCATAGTTTAGTTGTTGGATGTTACTAGTTAAAATAAACAAATAATTTTCCAGTAAAAAGCTACAGTATTATGTAGAGGTAAGAATAAAATAGCTTGTATTAAAATTGCAGAAGCCATGAAGAATTAAGCTCGATATAAAGTGATAAGGTGAGAACATTTCTTTGAAAGATATATTAAGTGTAGATTAAACAAGATACTGAACAGTAAACAACTTATGTAATGAGAAAGACTAGACATTACAATTAAATTTCGTTTTAAGTGTAATTGTTCTTAAAAGCCTGGAATGAGATACTAACTTCATTGGGTTGCGTGTTTTAATAAACAAATCGAATTATATTGGCTAGAGCACTTGGTTTATTAGATCCTGAAGAATGATAAGACTAAGGGCAGCAACTCACGTCCGGAGATTAGAGTTATTCTGATAATTTTATAGGGTGTGGCGGCAGTACGGTGATTCCCTTAGACAACTAGCATATACTACGATGCTTCTCTCTTACAACAGAAAATGAAGTTGGAAAATCTCGGTCCTAACAATAGCACATCTCACATTGGACCATGGATTTCTATCATTACAGGTAAGGTCTTTAATAGATTGAGCTATCAGCTCACGACATACTGACACAAAAGTCGTGAATGGTTGACTAAGAACAGTAGTTCCTAAAGATTAGCCAGTCAAGTCCACAGATTGTCAAGATCACCCGTAACAAGGTTTTTCTTTCAGTTACCTCCAGAAAATTATCCTTCAAAAATATAGGCAATCTGGAAAATGAAAACCAGTGATATGCCGCCTAACATCACCATACACTATGCTGACAAATCATTATTAATTAGATAGCTAATATGACGAAGTTTATGAAATCACTTATTTCTTTTGAAACAAAACTCAACTAACAGAAAAAGGAATATAGATCAACTGTTAATTGATTTATCATTGTGATTTCTAAAAATAAATAAATAACTGGATTATGATAAATTTATAAATTCTAAACAAGTTCTCAATGAAATCATCTAATCAATATATTGAGTAGTTTTATGTACATACCAATATTATTATTATTATTATTATTATTATTATTATCAAACTACCTACATGGAATGAATCACATTGTAGTTAATTTTTTAAAAATTTCAAATAATGATTCATGAGACAATGACACGTACACAGTGTGTGGATCACCAATTTTACATTCTTTTCACTTATTTAAACCAATTAATATCAAATAAATGAGATTCATGATTAATTTAATCATGAATTCATGACAATTACACACACTCACCATTCGAACTGTACATGTATGTTGAACGCATGTTGATTTATGAATAAAATCACCATTTGTTGTAGGTTGTGTATAACTTTGAATATAAGAAATAACTTTTTTACGTTCATGTGGTCCTGCTGCATCCACTTCTTTTAACCATTGATCACGGAAAAAATCAATTAATTTATGCGATAGACGCCGTTCATCATCAACATTATCACAATCAGATGATCCAAATCGAAACATGTAACTAACCACTGAATTAAAGATAAAATAAAATAAGGAATGTGAAAATTTATGAATAAAACATAAGAAAATAATTTAAAAATAAACAAAATGAACGTAATAAATATTAATGAAAGATGGTATATTTTATATACTATGGAAATTATTATTGAAGATTAAACTCAATTTTATTCTGGTCGTAATCTTTCAGTTATTACGGCAAAGAAAGATATCAGTTTAATTTTGAATACTAATTAATTTGTGATACTGTTTTGATGACATCTTTCAAATGAAAAATAAAACTGAACAGCGTTTAAAACATCAAATGAAAACAACAAACAAAAATTAACAACACAAGTAGAGGAATATAGCAGCTTTTTCAGTTGTAAAAATCTGGATAGTAAAACCAACTTCAAGATTATGAATACTGACAACCAATTTACCGATTAAGTAACCATATTATGATAACTGATAAATGTTTTAATTTTAATTTGTCAGTCAATTAAACAAACAAACTAACAAATAATTCAAGTGTGTTCCTGATGTTTGTGCGTACAGTCAATCAGTATTCATTATGTAGGCATATTTCTGGGTGAAGTCACGCAAAATCTGTAGATTGATCAGAGTTAGAGATTAACATCGTTGGATGCCGGTCCAGTGGTTAGGCGTCCGCGCGCAAGACCGAAGGTCTCGGGTTCGAATCCTACGAGGTACAGGAGTCGTGGATGCGCACTGCTGATGAGTCCCATACCAGGACGAAACGGCCGTCCAGTGGTTCCAGGTTTCTAACGGTTTTTTAACAATGATTGATTGGTGATTTTAATGCGCAGAAAACACTAATCTCCGTAACTCTAATTGAAAAATATTTCTGTACATTAATAACCCAATGCGTTTCTTTTAGTAAACAATAAATGATGATATTCTAGTCGAATTGTATTTTGATGTGAATAAAATCTACACGAACAGCGTATTCCGCTTTGTTGACGGTATAATATTCTTGAAAACACAATATCATGTATAAAGCTTGAGGTGTGGTAGGTAAATGAAAAATAGTCCATCCCTTTATTGAATAAAAGCATTTTTTATTCAAGTCGTTTGGTAGGCATTCTAACCAGAATAAAATTGATTATAGTCGTTTGGCTTATTATGGAAAACGTTATTAATGTAATATTTGTAGATTATAGTTTCTATTAATTAGATAAAATTTTCAGAAACAAAATATACAACTATACGATAGATAATCTCTTACATGGTTTCTCATTTAGTAAAGGTGGTTTCGGTGGTTCAACATCAGCTTTAACTAATTTGGAATCTTCTAAATTGTCATGATCTATGCAGTCATCATGTTCAATAGCACTGTTATCGCAGGAGATATTCCATTTTTCGAATTGAAGTTTCATTTCAGGATAGTTCAGTGCATTGTTATGATTTGGAGAAGAGTTATTCAATGATAATGTATTAATTGATGAAATAGGTTCATGATTATGATCATTGACGGATTCAGTATTTGTTTGATCAGATCGATTGACTATAGCTCGGTTAAGATCTGGACCCGAACCATCTGGAAGTGATGGTGCTAATATAATCTGGTGCACAAAAAAAAAAATAAAACAATCATCCAAAGACATTAAGAAAAAAAATAATTACACTGATTTATTATTTGAATGATTATCAACTAAAATAGACTATGGAAAAGGGAAAATTCAAAAGAAAAATGTACTCGCGTAAAGTGATTATATTTTATCAACAATGAAGTTTGTTCTTTGCTGCTTTACAACCGATCAGAACTGATGAATTTCCGATTTATTATTGGTGTTTCAATATTCAATATAAAACTACTGCATAATATAGTAGAATTTAATCTACATTAATTAAACACAAGATTAACAGAACATAATATATATCTGCGATTTCGTAGTGCGAAAAACCTTAAGAAGTAAATACTTGATAGTAGTTTACGATAGCAAAAAAAGTTAATAATGACATTTCTCAGAAAAGATGCCCTTTAGATAAAAAATATTCAGGTTTTTTTTAAATGTTCTTGAGATTAATAAGAAAAGGAAACACATCCAGATTAACAAAAGAAAATATCTTCCAGTCGAATGTTGATAAAACATTCTTAACTTTAAAATAAAATCTGAATAGATTTGAGTTGAACAAGGCAAACATTATAGTCGTAATTTGGTCATAGGTACTGGAAATTGTAAGCATTATCATATCTTAATGTGAAACTAGTTATAATGCAACCAAAACAACATAACGATCCCGTACTGTTAATCAGTAAACAAGTACCTGGAGGTAGAAAAGGAGCCGTTAATTAAAAATCATCCATGATACAAAAACCAACAAACTAAGAGTGCATAAAAAGTATAAGTAAACCACAAAAGAACAGAAAGCCTAGAAATTAAGTGAACATATATATAAAGTAAATATACTGGATAATATAGACTAGAATGATTCTGCGAATTCCAAATAAGTGCATCCATTTATAAGACCTGTTAATCAATACTACAGAATACAGTTTTAAAAAAGTTGACATGAATTTAAATCAATTAAAATTACTTTTGAAAGGAAACAAAACTATAATTTTATTTTTTTAACATTGTCAATGTATAATTATTTTTGATGTTAATAATTATCAGTAATATGTCAAGTGGGAATTTCGATGAAATTTAAGCAGAGGAGGAATGTTAGTCAGATTCATTCGATAGACAGAATTCAATATATATATATATATATATATATATATATATATATATATATATATATATATATATATATATACTGCAATAGTAAACTATAACGTTTTACTTTCAAACACCTACATAAACAGTGAATGTATGCATTTGTAAATTCAATGTTATATTTTGTTGCATGATGTGAAGCGAAAAAAAACACTTATTCTTTTTAGGCCATTAAAACTAATTTCAAATTATTTTTAAAGTGTGAAAAAACAACACGAAATAATATGTATATATATATATATATATATATATATATATATATATATATATATATAGAAAAAGATAAATTGACTTACTTCTCTAACTTTATGCCGTTCAATAACAACACGTCGTTGAAAATGACGTCTATATTTTTTACCATTAGCTTCAAACAATTCATAAACATCTTCTGTGTCGGATTTCACTTCAGAATGACAAGTCGGTGAATAATCATCAATATCTTCAGTATTGGATGTCATTGATTCATTATTCATATCGGTACTTATCATTGAAGTGTTGTTTTGTTCATTTAGAATGACAGTAGTCGCTGTCGTGCTTGTATTAGTTGTAGTAGTAGTAGTAGTAGTAGTTGTTATTGTTGTAGCATCCGATGAATTAGTAGTAATGGAGTTACTTGCACTTAATGTAGATGTAATAAAAGGATTTTCCAACTATTATAAAAGAAGAATAAACATGATCATAAAACTTATGATTAAAAAAAAAATGTAGATTAAATTGTTGTGTTTTGTTTACAGATTTAGGGGAAAACATTTAAAAAAAAGTTGTTTACGATAGATGTTTTACTGATATGTATTCAGTGAATCATGATTTCTATGGCAGAATGAATTAAAAACAATCTGATAAAAATACTAAAATTAAGCGAGATGAACTGATGATTATTTCATTAGAATTGTATCAAGAGGATGACTATAATAATAAAAAGTGAGAGAGATAGACATTGTCTATAAACAATAAAAGTATCATCCGAAGACAAATTACTTTAAAGACTATTACTAGATGAAAAAAACTCAATCATTTTAATTATTTTTTTTCCTCAATAGACTTTTAACTAAAAATATGTATTGAATGAAGCAAACAATATACATATATGCGAATAGATCAAGTGGAATAAAGTTGTTTTGTATTTTATAGCAGAAAGCAATTTTCTTTTTACAATTAATTTAATTGAATTTCAAATTTTGCAAAAGTCAAGTGTACAAGTGTAGGTGTGTGCTTGGGTTTGAATAACATTATTTTTTTTTTTTGATACTTCCCGGTTGATCAAACCAAAATGTGCATAAAACATTTTTAACCTGGTAACTAATAGTTGAGAGTTAAATATTTTAAGCACTAAACCATTACTGTACAGAAATCTATTTACTTGACTTATTTAATTACTTTTAAGTTTTTAGACAGTAGTAGTAAAAATGAAATATAAATACAAATAAAAATAAAGAAAGGAGTGATCGATCAAAACAATGAATATTTTATACAGATTATTTCATTTGAGTTAAAATTTTGGTGTGATCTTATCAATATTTAAATTACAATCCGGTGGGGATTTTCAGTTTTTACGTAATATAATTTTGAAAGGATATTATTCATATGACATCAGGAGATAAGACCATATGCTGAAATTCTAGCCCATCATTTTTTCATAGAACATTTAGAAAATAGTGTTAGTCAATGAATAGAACGTGAGCTAACACATATAGCAAATAAGGCGTATACGCATGACACAATGTTACAAAACTAAAAAGGACCGTAACCAGCTTTCATCTAGAGTGGACATCATAACCGCCGTAGAAGACTATTGTGTTCAAGTGTGGAATAATATTACACGAGACATACACTCACGATATAAAAACCCCACGATTATCGTGATGCTTTGAGACCAATAAGTTGGAGTTAGCAAGTTTCAACTCTTCTCAGTCTTAACTATAAGTCAACCAGTAGTCAATGGCAAAAGCGATAACAATATAAACAGTTTGTCATTATTTGTTTAACAAAATATTCTTTTTCATTGCTTGTTTACACGGTTCACAGTAGTAGCAAACTATCTTTACAAAAATAGATTTAATAAGTATTAATCCATCAAGATCATATATGACATTAGGGATAATTTTTTGTTATTATTAATCATGTAAAAGTATACCGAGAGTTTTAACAAGTAACAATATCAAAACATTAATGACATACTTATGTTTTACCCACAAAATATATCACAATTTATGCTTATAAAAACAACAACCTGATAAGCTGTAATTGAGAAGAAAATACATTGACAAAAATTATAGTATTTAAGTTGAATATTTATTAATCTGGTTGGTAAACGATAGTTCATGAAACTAATATTTACAAATATTTATATTATACAGCTACGTTGAGGACTGGAAGCAGATATCCAAAGGGTGAACAGTAATTGGGTAGAACTGGAGAAAAGAAGGCGCACGACAGAGTAGGTTAGAGAGTGCTGGTGGGCAGTCTATGCTCTATTAAGGGTAACAAACGTAAGTAAATAATATTATACAGCTACCACACATAAAAATAATACTGGTAATGTTAAACATGCTGGAGAACATTATATTATCCACAAACAACCAATATAAGTGTCAGCATGCTTTCTATTTCTTAGGTTAACACAATTCAATTTATGCCATAGCAGTTGAATGATTCATGTCAAACAGTTATCAAACCTACTGTTGACAGAATAATAAAATGGCCAAATGTTACATTAAAATCTGATTATGATGAACTGAAATAATGACAATTTATTTTAAATTATATTGAATAACAATAAGGCACTTTCAATATTTAGTTGAAATTATTTATTACTAAATGAGAATAAATTTAAAGAATAGTTTTAGATGATGCAACTGTACAGTTTTACGATTGGTTTCACTAAACTCAATCGTATCTCTAAAGAACTTTATGTACTTCTGATTTAGCATTAAAACTACTACTAAATACTGTTCACAAACTTTGTAAAAGCTAACTAATCTAAACATGAAACATCTTGGTTCACTTATGGTACATTGTAAAAATGTACAACTTTTACTGTAAGCATAAGTACATCATCAATATCTGCAGTATTCAAGTAGCGTCTTTTGTTACACAAAACCATCGAAGCATTTTCTTTTCCGTTTTACTTGAAAACTTTCAATTTATTTAAATAACACTAAATTCATATTCATTGAGATATATGTTTAACTCACAATTCATTATTTCATGATAAATTAATGTGAATATACAAAATATAAATAATTTAAAAATTTGAAATAACAGTTATCATAAATTAAATAATATTATTTAATGAAAAAAAATTAATGTGCTAAAAATTTAATCGATTTAATGTAACAGGAACTTATATATCCTACAATGATAGCCCTATTATTTTATCAATCGGTCAGGCAGAAAATAACGCAGCTGTAAAAAGAAACTTACCGACTGAAGAAAAGGAAAAACAAAAGATACAACACAAACTATTTTTATGCTTTACCCAAAGGGATAAACTAAACTAAACTAACTAACTAACAAACAATTATTTCATTTCTACATCCGGTTGTCGTCATATTGAGCCAGTTAATTTTAAAATAGCGAAAACAAACAGTCAAAATGAAATAGTTCGATAGAGGAGTCATGATTAATGATGATGATGATGATACAGTGGTACATAACAGACTGATATAGTACAAATTCATAATGACTTTTTTTATTGATTCATTGATTAAATATATTTTACACAGCGTCGATAATTTTAGGTTTGTTAAAATTCATAAAACAAACGGAATGCTTATGAAATAATTTACAATTACATGTATTCCAATTTGTTGTTTAATGAATGAAATAAAAATACAATAAGTATTATTTAGGAAGAGAGATAAAGACTGGATAGTTCATCGGGTTTGGTGAATAATAATGATACAAGGCCATGTTGTGTAGCTTTGATGACTGAGGATTAGGAAGGCCATTTTATAAAGATAAATATGAAAATTGAAGTTTGAATTTTGGTGAAATAAATTACTTCTGAAAAGGTGAAAAATATGCGAACTGAAGGATTCTGTACCTGATAACTCTTTAACGAATCCTACTGTCAATTCACTAGGAAATATTCAAGTTAGTTATTCCTAGATATCGTCAAGGTTAATCTTACACCATAGTCTCCGTGGTGAGTTTTGACTTCGTATACATGTTATAATAGTTGGTGATCGTTTGAATGTTGTTCATCACCAAGAGCTCAATTGATGCAACACTGCAAACTGAAACAGAACAACCAGTCAATAATTGTTTTCAAAGTAACTCGCTTTTGTCAACAGAATATTATTATCTTTGGTAAACAATTGGAAATTATGGGATTAATTAAAAGAATAAAATTGTTTTTGAAAATTAACAAAACAACAACATGATTGTGAGCAGATTGTGACGAGAATGAAAATAAATTAATAAATCATAAATCCTTACATACAAATCTGATATTTAGTCTTACTACTCTTACAAATAAATCTCTTTCAAAAATAAAAAAACAATATAAATCTTATGACTTGAAACATAAACCACAAAAGGGCTTATCTTTAAAAAAACCCCAAAGTTTTTTAATTCAGCAAAGGAAACAATTCATCATGAGCATTAAATTTATGGTGATGAATTAGAAAAAAATAATAATAATAATTTTGAATAATTAAATTAGTTTTTCTTTTGTAAGACTAATAGTTGTTTGCTATTTATTATGATGTTTTTGTTACCAAAAGAAAAAGATATGATGTGAAAAATTTGTAATGATAATGAAAATTGACAAATGTTAAAAGGTCAAGATTCGATAAACATTAAAGTTTATGGCATTATTATTTAAACTTGAGATTTTTTTTGGTTAGGATGAAAAATTTGAATTTTTTCAAGATAAAGAAATAGAATTGTTTTTTTTTAAAGAGAGTAAAAGCATCCTAATATGGATACGTTGTAGAGCTATACAGCAATGAGTTATTTGATTATTTCAAGTCAAGAAATAAACAGATGAAACATAGGAATTGGTAGATTAAAGCTAAATGAAAAGGAACGAAATTAATGCTTTATGGAGGAATACGGTATAAAATATAAAGTATCTACTAGAAGTGATGTTGATGTGGCAGTTCAGATTACAAGTAAAATAGTTCATAATTGAAAAAAAGAACGTAATAAAATTTTTAGTTTGATGCTGTGTATACAAAATCATGACGAATTAATGTTATATTTTATAACTCGTCTAGCCAATAGTCATTTCTGACTGCGAATGATTATGATTGTTTGATTTGAATTTGAGATTCAATGAGATTTCAAAAGACCAGGTGACAGACACAATGACAGTTCGATAATCGTCGCTAACTCAACGTAATCAGGAGAACTTAATATTAACGATGAGAAACTTGAAGTCGACCAACACTGTTTACGTAGCAACCAATGTTATCTTAAAACACAGTAAAATTATCAAGTGTGCATAAAAAAAAATCAGAAGATGGATATGAATATATCACTGATAACTGTAGATATAATCAAATAACTTTATCATACAAAAGACGGTTTTGATGCAAGTTTTACAGGAAGAGTAGCAAACTTATTTTTTAAACATTTAAAAAATGAATATTTCATCGGCCCAATGAATATTATAACTACTTAATAACTGTTAATTAGGTCATTT